TATATATATTTATTTATTTATATATTATTATATATATATATAGATATATATATATATATATATATATATATATATATTATGTACATATGTAACGTGGGCGCTAATGAATGATTTCATCGTCCAAAGGCACTGTTTACATGGCAATATTTGCAAGCAGATTGGAACAGAGTTCATAAGAGGCATCTCAGGAGGTGAACGTAAAAGGACAAACATAGGAATGGAGCTAATCATATCCCCTACAGTTCTCTTTCTTGATGAGCCTACCACGGGCCTTGATGCAAACACAGCCAACACAGTCATGTTGATTTTAGCCAAGTAAGACAATGCGCAGGTTTACAAATCGTTAATATACATATAATGATATATGATAGATAGTGGAATTCTGTTTTTGCTAATAGCCAAAGTGTAACCATTTAACGCTCTTATAAGCGTGTGCGAAGGCTTCGATAATATGCATACACCACGAATTTCGTAATTTTCGTAATCATGCTTTCATGTGTCCACAATGTAGTTTGGCAAAGAAAGGAAGAACTATTATCTTCTCCATCCATCAGCCACGCTACTCCATCTACAGACTGTTTGATGACATGACACTATTGGCCAAGGGGGAGGTGGCCTATCATGGCCCCACTTCCTCTGCACTTGCCTACTTTGAAGCCCTTGGTATGTGTTTGGTGGGAGTCTGATAATTAACCTGTCATTTTTGAAATTATACAGAGCTATAATATACTACATATACATGGTAAGAGTGTGTTCTCATCATTCTTTGCCATACTTTTCTATCTTGATTCAAAATGTTATTGTTCCACAGAAGCATCCTGCCTAGCATTCGTTTTGAGTTTCATGTGTATATGATTGTATGATATCGATGTTGCATCGTTGAAGACCCAGTTGCGGATTTTTCCACATTTTTTTTTTAAATTTTGAGTGATGAATCTTTTATCTGTGTAAAGCAGTTCATGTGCAGCTTGGAATGAATTTGTAAATTTAACTATGTTAAAATAATTGAGAATGTAAGTTTATTTATTGGAGTCTTACTTTTTGTTCAGCTCTAGCTTTTATTTTAGCACGTGTTCTATAGTGATGTGCTAGCTCATATCATTCAGGCTCAACCAGTGCTAGTATTGTTTGCTGCTAGGTTACATCTGTGATCTGCACAACAATCCGCCAGACTTTTTTCTCGATGTGCTTAATGGAGATGCAGCCCGAGTGTCCGAGAGACATCCAGGTAAAAGGTTGCAGCCACCTAACCTCCTTGTCTCTTGATCATTGAATGATGATTCATCATCATGTGGGGTGTCAAAATGGATGTCTAAAATGTGTGTGTGTGTGTGTGTGTGTGTGTGTGTGTGTGTGTGTGTGCGTGCGTGCGTGCGTGTGCGTTCGTGCATGCGTGCGTGCGTGCGTGCGTGCGTGCGTGCGTGCGTGTGTGTGTGCATGCGCGTGTGTATATATATATAATATATAATATAAGGCTAGAGAGAGAGAGAGAGAGAGAGAGAGAGAGAGAGACGAGAGAGTAGAGAGAGAGTAGAGAGAGAGAGAGAGAGAGAGAGAGTAGAGAGAGAGAGAGAGTAGAGAG